GGCTACTTGGAATTGGCATTTATCTCCTTTCCCATCAAATCAACCTCCTTTTTCAAGTGCTTTGATATCTACTGATGAAAATAATAATATAAGGGCTGTATTATTATGCCTTCCCTCTTCTTTCTTGGGCCAGCAAGTCTACTTAATATGACCATCTTGCTTCCCGTCTTCGTCCCGTGCACGGTAATGAATTGCTCCCCTTAGTCAGCAGAGTCAGGTGCTCTCTAGGCTGGCGGGGCGAGGGAAAAGATGGAGGAAAAATCACTCTGTGCCACACTCACTTTGTAATCCCTAATCAGAGTCCTCTGTGGGAAAAACTAATTTCCCAGCCTGTCTTGACATGTGAAATAAAGTCATTCTTGAAAACGGGAGCTTGACAGGTCACTTGTGAAATTTCATATTCAACTAAAAATAAAATATCCATCCATTGATATTTCATTTAAAGGCAAAGGAAAAAAAATCTTTTGCCTGGTTGTTGGGACTGTTTCCCATTAGCTATGTCCTTCCAAGTGGAGTGTATACAGAAATTAAGCAAAAATTTTTCAGGAGACCAAATAATACTCCACGGAATCAGGGAAAGTTGCTTCTCCCTAGAACAATACTCATAGGAAAAGTTTTGTGAAGATATTTCCTTGCAGAATATATGCCTGAATTTTCTTTTCCTGTCAGCCCTATAAGTTTCCTCTGACTCAGTAGGTTACCAATCTCTACAGATGGTTAGACATCTTTTTCTTGCAAAACTGATGAATTTGGGCCTAATTCGCCAAAGCCATTAAATCATGTTTCACTTTAAGCTTAGTGAATGTCCTATTGGAGGTAAGCATACACTTAAGTACCTTACTGCAAGGGTGTTTCTCTCATACGGGTGGACTTTTATATCTTGGTTAGCTCAAATGGAGCCAGTTAAAAGTTCTGGGCCAAAAACATTTAAAAAAGGTTTGTTAACGTTAAAGTTCCAGTGACTAAAGCTCTTCAGTATAAGAGATCTGAATGTGCAGATCCCATTAAGTATCATTTCAAATCCCATATCCCATATCCCATTTCAAAATGTCAGCCGTGCACACCAGCTAAGATGCTTAAATGAATAGGTGCTGCTGGACACTTCTCATTTGGGCAATCAGACTGCCTTCCTAAGTGTCACCACGTGAATGGGGTTGCTTGTGTTGGAAAGTTTGCCTCAGCACACCCTTTGTGACTGCAAAGCAGAGCTGGGAGGATGCTGACCTTCAGCAAGCCATTCAGGGTAGTATTTCCACACAAGGATCCTTGATGTTAGGGCCCGAAAGCAAAGGAGGATTTCTTTGCTTTGGGCTCTGTCAGATCAGGCCATTTGGTATGATGCCTCCTCAGTTTGAAAACAAAACCAGATTTTTTGCGGAAATGCCTGTGTGGCTCTACTGAAAATAGGGCTGCTGAATTAGCCAGTGGGGGCTTGACCCCAACCTGTGATTTTAGACAAGCAAAAAAGAAACTACTGTCCAATTAAAACTGTGGAGTAGAGGGAATTTTAGCTAGGTAGAAATGTAATTACCCATGCTGGAAGATGGCCAGAAGACCAGGACTAACATCCCTCCCCTCCTGTGA